CGACTTGGCGATGGATGAATACCCTTCAACAAATCGACGGTAGTATCCAGCAAAACCGAGAAAGGTCTTCAACTCTTTGGCGGTATTAGGGAGTGGCCAAGACTTAACGGCCTCAATCTTGCTTGGGTCAGTGCTGACACCCTCAGACGAGATCACGTGACCAAGACATCTTACTGAGGACTGGAAAAACTTGCACTTGGGTGGGCTTAGCTTCAATCCAAACTGCTGCAGGCGATCCAAGACACGCATCAGTCGTGCCTCATGTTCTTCTTTTGTCTGAGAGAAGACAACAATATCATCAAGGTAGACGAAGACCTCATTATTCAGAAGATCTCCCATGCACCTTTCCATCAGGCGCTGGAATGTTGCAGGTGCATTGGTGATACCCTGGGGCATTCTGTTAAACTCATAGAAGCCGAGAGGACACCAGAAAGCGGTTTTGTGTTTGTCTTCCTCCGCCAATTCTATCTGGTAATAACCGGATTTCAAATCAAGACAGGAAAACCAGGCTGCTCCATTCATGGCATGGAGTATGTCCTCTATCTTTGGTATGTTGTACTGGTCTTTGACAGTCCGGCTATTAAGCTTTCGGTAATCAATGCAGAGGCGGAGGTCACCATTCTTCTTGCGGACTAGAACTATTGGAGAAGCAAACTGGCTCTCCGTGTCGCGAATGATACCTTTGCTCTGCAGATCCCTCAGATGTTGTCGGGTGTCGGCATAATCGGCAGGGGGGATTCGCCGACAATTCTCGCGGAAAGGTGTCTCATCTGTCAGACGAATCTTATGTTTGACGGAGCTGGTACAGCCTATGTCTAGATCATCTCTGGAGAAAACATCGGAACGGACACAAAGTAACCGTTTGATTCGCTTGGCCTCTGCTTCCGGGAGGGGAGAATCGGTAAAGTCAAACTGGGACTCAATACTGGCAAGGTTGTCAGTTGACATAGGCGGGGATCCATCTGAGGTAAAAGGTAGTTCCCCAGCAATTTCAGACGCAGATGCAAGCTCGCATCTTGCAGGGACCACAACCGTGTGGCAAGAGACATTGCTGAGTGTGACTTTCATCTTAGCTTTTCGCCTAGCAGGTAGTAAAACCAAGCTGTTGCTTATCGTTATGGCATCGGGGAGTTGTGACGAACTCGACTGCTCAATAAGAACTTCTCGCTTGGCTCCGCGTCGATTATTTACCATTCCAGTAACTTGAACTCTCCCACCAGGCTTGATGGAAATGGCCCTCATCAACCTGACGGGGCTTAAAACAGCAGAGGAACTTGCAGCACAGTCTTTGTAGATTCTCTGCCAAGCAGAATTAACGGAGAGTTTGTTCAGGACATTTCGCCCACCTTTCTGTTCACAAGCCCGTAACAACCTTCGTACCACGCTGGTGTTGGTGCCAACGATCAGGGGAGTGTCGTTGCTCCCCTGGCGGTCAGGGCATACAAGGGCAAGGGTCGTAACCTCCTGTTCACTTCCGGTGGAGTCAACTGGAAATTTGAGGCTTATCTCGACATAACCCTTGTACGGCACCGGATGTCCTGCTGCGCCTATCACTGTGAGCTGCGATAGGGGATGAAGCTGGCGGTGTGGTAAATTACGGGTGTGAAACGTCTCTGTCACACAAGTGACTTGCGACCCGGTATCAAGCAAACACTGGGTGGGGTGACCATCGACGAGGACAGGCATGATGGCCTGGTCACCGACGACACCCAAGGGAACGCCAGAAATATCGTTGGAAGGAGATGCTTGATATCGTGTCGCAGCACTTACTCGAGGTGTGGGACCCTTTGGTAAGTTTTGGGCAGTTGTCCGGTCCACTACAGCTGCCCACTGTCGTTTCCCGAACTTTGGCTGCTCTTTCCGTCTTTGGGTATCCGAGACATCATCTTGTCTTGGACAAGGGCAGGATTCTTTGGCCTCGTGCAGGAACCCATTCGGTGGCCATCCTCTCCACAGTTATAACAAAATATGGGCCTTGAGCTTCGGCTAGGCGCCACTGTGGCAGAAGGAGATGACCTACGGGAAGCGTCGGGCTGGATCTTGAAGAATCCGTCGAGTCGGCAGTGCAGACGATCGACAGCTTGCCGCAACTCAGCAACTTCCCCGTTGTTGCTTTGAGCTGAGGTCGTCTGGGCATCCTTATTTTCTCCCGCTGCGGTTTGGGCCATAGCAGCTGCATTCTTCATCCGTTTGGTGTTATCTTTCCTTCGGTCGGCTTTGTCCTCTAACAAAGCCTCAGCTGCCCGTACATCCCGAAGTAGGGACAGCATACCAGGGGGGTTGTTCTTTTTGGCCCCAAGCTGTAGCAAGTTCAACAGGGAATCATTATAGAGACAACCCCGTTGAAATTGGCTACATAGGGTCTTATCCGTATTACCAGGGTTGATACCTTCCATTTCAACGACCTGAGTGAGGAGGGTATGTAATCTTAGCAAGTATTCAGACGCTTTTTCATTCTCCTTCTGGTACGTGCACCTGAAGTTGGTGAGAAGCTCATCACCATCTGCAGCTGACCCAAACGCGCGAGAGAGACACTCCAAATACTCTTGCGCTGAGCTATCGCTGCTGACAGCCCAGACAACGTTTAGTGCAGGTGGAATAAGGGACTCGGTTATCCTGCTCGTTTTCTCACGGTCTGGAATACTCGTGTCTTTCAAGAGCTGGCGTACCAGTCTCCGCCAATTCTCAAAAACTAATTCTCCGGCTGGGACGGGCGACTTTCCAGAGAAGAGTCTCAGACGACGGTAAGACCGGTTGGACCCTTTATCAATAACATGCACGACAGGCTTGCTGCCGACATCTTTAGGTTCGGTGTTGTCATCAAACTCTAAACCGAGGGACTTCAGGTCATCCATGGTTTTCCCATGACCAGATAAAAATTCATTTAGGGCCTCCTGAAATTCAATTTTTTGCTTTGTTGGTACAGGTTCACAACAATCATGTAATATTAATTCAGTAAGATAAGGATAAAACTGGGGAGAACACCCACAATAGGATAAAATGTACAGTAATGATGCACCTGAAAAGGATGAAAGGCGGCAACAATGACTTGCAAGATACAAATCAATCAGTGTAAATACATCAAAATGACAACAGTTACAGGCATGAAGCTCACGGTAATATCAGACATGAAAAATTCGACACATCGGGGGTAATAACAACGATTGAAAATCAGTATTTTAGAATCAACAAAAAGTGCTTCCGTTAAGGGGATTATGATTTTCCCTCTGCAGTCACTCAACAAGTGGCAGAATAATACTGGGAGGAGGGAACAACAGAAAGAGGGAAAAATTTCAGAGTGAGCAGATATCCGGGTGGTGCCTCCATTTTCTGTGTCACAGGTTGGCTCTCGATTGTCATGGTCTTTAGTCATTAAGTTTTCTTGGATAAGGAATAATCTCATCTTTCGTAATTAGGACTTTCTCAAGATCACGTACCAGGATGTGGTCTCAATTTTTATGGTCAGTTTAAGGTTATTCGCCCACTTCTTAGATGGATTGGCCAAG